GGAGGTAAAAAATATATTCTTCACAAACCATTAGTGACAGGTGATGTTTTGAATGTCAAAAACTTGTATACTGATTTCCTTCATGAAAGCTAGCTTCGAGATCCAATACAAATTACGTTGATTAATTTTGGTGGGAACAGGACTTGGACTTCTGTTTTTCTGTATAATATTTGATGTAAGTGGAGCTTGAGTAAGAGTTTTGTGGGGTTTTGTGGAAAAGGTACTAATGGTGCTCTGAATTCCATGCTGTTCAGCTGCTGTTCTAGCAAAACCTTATCCTAGTCCATATAGCTGTGTAGCAAAAATTTATAAAGGCCTCTGAACTGTTTGCAGATTGTTGTAGCAAATCCACCATTTTACAGAGAGTATACTGAACAAAAGGGAAAATTTGTGAAAGCCATCAGCTTTTATGGGTGTGCATGAACACTGCCATGGCTCATCTCAGCTCTCACTTGTTAGTGGAAATGAGGATGAAATAAAAAGGTCTGAAGTCGCTCAAGATGCTAATTGTTCTTGTGCACTCCAGGGCTTGTTTATGCTGGCGCAGGCAGTACATCCATCAAAGCCAAAAGAGTTGCATTTTGTCACTTTAGTTCTCAGTGCTGGCAGATGAAGAAAATAGTTTCTTTGTCTTTCTTGTGTGTCACATTGTTGATGTTGTTTCTGGCTTAAAATCAGTTGGGAAGGAAGCATGACTTGAATTGGCTGAAGTAAACATTCTTTTATTTTGCATAAGCCCTGGTGTTGCATCATAGAGATGTAGGACTTGAATTTAATCCAGTACTGCAACTCAGGAAGCATCAAAGCATGTTTAAGTTCTATTGACTTCAAAGGGTAAGAAGATTACTTGCTCAGATGTAAACCTCTTAAATTATATACACATGGCCATGTCAATATCATCTCAGAGATATCATTACTAATGCTAAAAGCCACAAGTGCTGGAGGGAGTAGAAGGTGGTCAGGTAAAACAGAACATGAGCTAATTCTTAATAAAATGTATGAACCAACTGTAGGGGCAGATACACCAGAAAGGACAAACTCTGCATGATCATCAGGAAAAAAGGAATAATTATGGAGTTCAAACAGTATTACATTCTGAGTCAGTTGCTAAAAACACTCATTCCAGAGGTAAAGACCAAAAACCTGAAAAGAGTGAATTGTCAATGGGAACAGGAACTTCTCAGCCAACTGTGGAATACAAATAACAAGAACGCCACTCTCACAGTTCCTCGTCCTAAGTAAGTCTCCCTTACCCTAAGGTAAGGCTAAAAGAAGTAATCAGATATATTGGTGTAGGAGTCAAAGTTACTAAAGGAACCAAAACAATTAGTCCTCTTCAGGTAACCGGAGAACTTGACAGGCTGAGATTAGTCACACAGTATTAAGCAAAAAGAATGGAATTGGTTAAAGACAGGTACCTAGAGTCTAGATTCTGCAACCGAATTAGCAACTTCAGGCTCTCTTGGGAAGAAATAAGCATTTTTTAGGATGAAATTCTTCTGACCCATTTTAAGTGTTTGCTTTAGAAATATGTTAATTTAAACATGAGCCAGCAGTGCACCCTTACGAAGATGCAGTGTTACCATATACTGTGCTACGTTAGCAAACTGGTAGATTAAGAGAAGCAATTGTCTGTCTCTATTTGTCTCTGGTGAGACTGCATCTCAGCAGGGTACTGTGTCCAGTTTTGGGCTTCTGTGTACAGGAAAGGCATTAATCAGCTCAGCAGAGCTGAGCGTGGAGATGGCACTAGAATATGCAGCATATAACGATTGACTGAAAGCTGGGTTTGATCAGCTTGGAGAAAAGTGATCTGATTGCTGTCTTCATCTACCTAATGGGCTTACAGAGAAGAGGAAGCCAGATTCTTCTCAGATGTGAACAGGGTAAAAAAACCCAGCAAACAGACAACAGGAAGCAATGGAAGCATCCTGCAGCAAGGGAAATCCTAATTAGATGCATGGCAAAATTCTTCATGGAGGAAGTTGCGTGTGTGCAGGTTGCCCAGAGAACTTGTGATAGATTGGAGATCTCTGGAGATTTTTGGTGCTTGACTGGAAAAGTCATTGAAGTGAGTATGAGTGAGTGTGTGAGGTAATGAACAGGAATACATTTGTTTTACACCTCTTCGGTGGTTGATACAGCATACAAAGCAGTGGAGAATGAGGTACCACACAGATAAACTTTGTGAAGTGTTCCCATTAGTAATCTCTTATTTTTGGCGTTGTCTTTCTGAATATAGAACAGATGATGCATTTAGAGCTGTATAATCCTAAGAGGAGTGAAGAAAGACCTAGTCCTCATGGGCAAGTGATGACTCTGGAGAATAGCATTTCCTTGGGAAATTGTACAAAGATGACTCTACGGAATTGTTGACCAACTGCAGAATTTAGCCCATAAATCTCCTCTCATTTTTTCATTTCCAAACCATATTCTTGGTACAGCACAGAGGCTGCCTCCCAACTATCACACTTAGATGTCTTCCAAAGGAAAGCAAGGCCCATGGGAATGCTATGCCACTGGCTCTCCTTCAAGCTGCAGCTAGGCCATACCCCCAAGGGTGAATCCAACTTCCAGTTCTGTAACACACTCTTGGGTTCCCTAGTTTACATGTACTTTGAAAGTAATTTAAACTTAAAGGCTGTGGATATTTTCTACCTAGACTTTCATAAAGCCTTTGACATCATTTCCCGTAGCATTCTCCTGGAGAAACTGGCTGCTCATTGCTTGGATGGGCTTACGCTTCACTGGGAAAAAAAGCTGGCTGGCTGGCCAGGCCTAAAAGGTTGTGGTGAATGGAGTGAAATCCAGTTGGCGGCTGGTCACAGGGGGTGTTCCCCCGGGCTCAGTACTGGGGCCAGTGCTCTTTAATAATCAGTGATCTGGACGAGGGGATCGAGTGCACTTTCGGTAAGTTTGCAGACAACACCAAGTTGGGCAGGAGTGTTGATCTGCTTGAGGGTAGGAAGGCTCTGCAGAGGGATCTGGACAGGCTGGATCGATGGGCCAAGGCCAACTGTATGAGGTTCAACAAGGCTCAGTGCCAGGTCCTGTACTTGGGCCACAACAACCCCAGGCAATGCTACAGGCTTGGGGAAGAGTGGCTGGAAAGCTCCCTAGCAGAAAAGGACCTAGGGGTGTTGGTCGATATCTGCCTGAATATGAACCAGAAGTGTGCCCAGATGGCCAAGGCGGCCAATAGCACCCTGGCTTGTATCAGAAATAGTGTGGCCAGCAGGAGCAGGGAAGTGATCGTCCCCCTGTACTTACCACTGGTGAGGCTGCACCTCAAGTACTGTGTTCAGTTTGAGGCGTCTCACTACAAGAGACAGTGAGGTGCTGGAGCATGTCCAAAGAAGAGCAACAAAGCTGGTGAAGGATCTGGAGCACAAGTCTGATGAGGAGCAGCTGAGGGAACTGGGGTTGGTTAACCTGGAGAAAAGGAGGCTGAGGGGAGACCTTATCACTCTCTACAACTACCTGAAAGGAGGTTGTATCCAGGTGGGTGTTGGTCTCTTCTCCCAAGTAACAAGCAGTAGGACAAGAGGAAATGGCCTCAAGTTCTGCCAGAGGAGGTTTAGATTCGATATTAGGAAAAATTTTTTCACCAAAAGGATTGTCAATCATTGGAACAGGCTGCCCAGGGAAGTGGTTGATTCACTATTCCTGGAGGTATTTAAAAGAGGTGTACATGTGGTGCTTAGAGACATGGTTTAGTGGTGGACTTGGCAGTGCTAGGTTAGCAGTTGGACTTGATCTGAAAGGTCTTTTCCAATCTAAACGGTTCTGTGATTCTGTGAACTTTGAAAGTAGGATGCTATGTGAACATCAGCTGTCCAAGTTTAATTGCACTAAGATGGTTTAACACAAATACTTTTAAATGTTCCTTTTCCAGCTTCATTTAACTCAGGTGGCCTGATTTTGGGCATGACCTCACTAGCACAGAGTAAATGAATAGTCAATTGCTAATACTATAAATATTCTGAAGAATAGTGTAATATATGGATGTGAGTAGCTCCTAATCCGAGTTTCACATTGTCTACTGAAGAGAACAAACTTTCCTTTATACTTTCTGTAATCTTATGGAGATAATACTGGTAGGATAAAGTTTTGTTTCTCTCTTTAGCATTAATTACAAATTTAAATTGTTGACTGTCACTTGCCTTATTTGAAGACATAAATGCCTGGAATTTTGCACATGGTCTTTTTGTTTTTGGAGAGAACTTGAACTGAGATAGTACAAGTAACATTTCCTTACTTCTTTGTACTCATAATTCTTCATAAAGCTTACACTCAGAAACCTTCCTAACTCTTGACTTAGAAGGCATGCATTATAAGTAGTCACCTTTAAACAAATAGAGCATACTTGATCCAAGTGCCCGTGATGGGCTATAGGAAGATTTATGCTCATCCACAAGATACTGCTTTTGAGCCACATTTATAGAGACATCAGCATGGGCAAAACCATAACAAGTAGTTACTAACTACTAGTCACAAGTTGTTACTAGTACTACTATAAAACATGCCTGTAACATTTTATGACAGCACTTCCTGAAATAAATATGCAGAAGCATTCTTTGTTCAAATCTCTGTTATTTAGTTTAGGAGAGATGATTTTGTTAGTCCATGCCTGTTGTTCCAAAAATTCTTCACTCATGGTGCACTCCCATTGTATTTGTGATGCTGAGTCCAATGAACTATTACTTTTTTAACATTTTCTTACCTTTATTTGGCATGATCCCATCAAAATGACATAGTTTAACGAGACATTTTGCAAGCAAGGTATTAACTGACTGAAAAGTAAACTGGTTAATCAGCAGACTGTTATGATTCCCTTAACATTTTAATAGAAAATACCATCTTTGCAACTTTCTTGAAAGAGTCTAATCTTTCTTGAACTATTCATCCAAAGCTTCCACCAAGTCTTTTTAAGGTAAATACAGTAGGGTGATTTGGACCAGACTGAGTTTTCAAGTCTGTTACTGCTGGTTTTGTTTCAGGATGTGTTGGAGTTTGGGATAACATCACCTGTTGGCGTCCTGCGAAGATTGGAGAGACTGTCACTGTCCCTTGTCCAAAAGTATTTAGCCTTTTTTCTGGCAAACCAGGTATTTAATTTTAAGGTGTATTTTTGCTGGCTTCTCTTTGGTATTTTATAATATGCTAAAAATGGGGGAGGTTTGCAGTATAAAGTTTTTATTTTCTTTTAAAGAGTTAAAATAATAGATTCTTAACAGAGCTGTTCATGATACATCATGAAAAGACTGAATTGTCTTTGTGGTCCATCTGCTGTTCGTTGAGTCAGATACTAAATAGATATTCTGATACAGTGACAGTCATCAAGGCCAAAGACATTGCTTGCTCTATTTGACCTATTTATGTTAATTATTAAGGCAGCTGAGCCTGACTGACATCTTTAACAGTTGCCAGCAGGTCACATGCAAGTTGTTCCTTCTGTGCTTAGGAGGGGAGCTCTGCCTTGCCTTCATGAGAATAATGAACCAATATTAACACATAATACCTAAAAATTATCACTATTGCAATTTAAGGTAATTATTATGAAACCTTTTATTCTGCTTTTTAATGGAACTTGAAAAGGGCTCATCAGTGTCTCACAGTGCTGAAACATTCAACTGTTTTAAGTCTACTGTCTTCTGTATCATCTTGTCAATATATCATACTGTGGTTTAATTTTGCACTGTGGCTTGTTAGTGGGGTTTTAAAAATGGATGATGCACACATAGCATTTCACATATGTATCTCAAAATGCAGCAGGAAAAATCTTACGCCCATTGCTCAGGTGAGAAACCTTTGTCATGAAGAGCTGGTGAAGGATGCAAAACTTAGCACAGTGATTTAATTCTGCTTTTGAGGTCTCTATGGAGAGCTTTTTAACAATATTACTTTTAACATAGAGGCTAACTTGAGATATGACTAAAATACCTTTATTCTCAAAACTGTTGATAAGGTCTGTTCCAGTAAAAAAATAGATAACTAAAACAATCTGCAGATAAGCAAAGGTTTTCATTCCTGGAGCTGATGAATCTTCATTAGTTTATCATAGATAGTCTAAACAGTTTAGAAAGGGGAAAGTATGTGTAATCTTCACTAAATCTTGTGAAATCTATAAAAGTATTCAAATGACTCAAATGAAGACGTTAAGGTGTTGTCATAAGACAAGGCAAACTAATAAATATAAAAAATTCAAAATCTGAATTAAATCACACTGCTTCTGTCTATTTGCCAGAAGCTAGAGCATGTATGCTTTCTCTGGAGTTTAGATGTTTGATATTTAACAACTGTTAGCATCTTATATTACAATAACATTTTAATTTTCCTATAAAACAACTTCAATAACTAAGTCTGGAACCATCACAATGTGTTACAACTCTGTCTTGCTTGGGCATGGTGTCATCAAGACTGAAAGATCACTTCCTTTTTATAGTTTGCTATAATTTTCCCATATACAGCTTTTTTCATAGCTACCTGTTTACTTCTTGCTTGTGGAACTAACAGGGTAGTTTTTTAGAGGATTTTTTAAAATCTTGGCTTTCTATAGTTTCAGAGAAGGAAGACAACAAACATCTTGCATGGTTGATTCTATTAAGATCTAAGTATCTCAGCACCTTTATAATTTGATTATGCTCAGGAATATCTAACTTATTTAATTCATACACAGTGCATTTCAAATTCACTTGATTCTTATGGCAGGAAATTATAAAAATATATTTAAATAAGAAACCTAACTCTTTCTGTTTAGCCAGATTTGTGAGATGTATGGTTTAGATTTTTCAGGGTTTAAGAGGAATTACAATTCTACAAGATGATCTAGACTACCTTACTTTTTATGGAAGTATTCCAAATCATAAGTAGACTTTTAAATACCATCAATGCCTTAAAGGATTTCTTAATTTAAATTCTGAATTAAAAAAAGTAGTTGTCTTCTCATCTTTACAACTTTTGGAGAACTGGCTCTTAATTTCTTCTGCGATGGTCAAGGTTATAGTTTAAGCGTGCCACATAATTAATTCTTTATTGAACATTAGTAACTTTATATTAAATGACTTTTTACTGTAAAAGCAATCATTGTATTATATTATCAATCATATTATCCTATAATGTTTTTTCTCTGCTGTACATGACAATGTAAGTATGTGAGTATCGGAAAGTTAATTCTGTGAATTTTTTATTCAAATGTATGTGTCCAATTATGAGGTTTAAATAAGGTTGCCATCTGAAATATTTAATTGCATGGAATGATGGTGTAGAAATAAACAATGTCTTCCATAGAACATTGCCTAACTGTCTTTAAGTTAGAAGGCCCTACAGTACTTACAGTAGAAAATACTTCAGCATCTTGAGTACATAGAGTGTTCTTGCAAAACTGGCTTTGACGTAATTTGTGGTTCTGTTAACACATTCCTCTGCTCTGCCTAGTCAGAGAATCTTGATGTACTTTTAAAGTGAAAACTCTTCAGAGTGTATAAATAGGTTACATTTTCTTTAAAAAATGCCATGTCTATGCCAAGTGGCAGAAGTGGTCCTGTTGTTTGAGTAGACACTGTGGTTTGAGGTCAAGGTCGTGTTATAAGCTAGAAAGATTTGGTTGTTGGTTGGTCAACCATTTGTAGGATATTTACAACTTTCCACTGAAGACTTTATACAAAGAAGAAATTCCAGTAACCAATCAGCAAGATAAAAATCACAAAAGCTTTAGCTTGGAGTGTATATAAACACGTTTGGTTATTCTTGGCCAAAGTTGATCTGTGACGCTTAAATTTGTTATTGTGTGGTAAAAACCAGACATCTTTAAGTCAGTTAAAGACCAATGGTAAACTCCAAACCAAAGCAGTATGTTATTATAGATTTCAAGTATCATGGATATAAAACTCGCTGTAAGAAACATGAGGGGAACTTGCCCATGATTTGGCATCATAAGTTACAATAATTTTAATGACTATTTTTTGTTGTGATATCAGACTCTTCAATTTTCTCCTATGGAAGCTGTTCCATACTGTATGAACATTGGTTCTTATTAATCAGGGTAAGGAGCAGAATCATGGGTTGCCCCCATCTCATCTGTGTGACTTCATCTGGGAAAAGAGTCAACTTCTTCTCTCACTTTCATCCAAAAAATCCTTTCTGAAATTAACAGATGTTCAAAATTCCTTTCCAACTATACTTGCACATCTCCTGTACGTTCCTTGGACTACATTGTTTCAGTGATTGGTTCAGAGAGTGAGATTCAGCATGCATATTTATTTCCTTGTTCTTCAACCTGTAACATAATTTGGCCTTTAAAGTGCATTACCAATCCTACGAACATTTGCTGTAGCAGTAATTCATCACATAAGAGCTTTTAAAACTCTTCAGTAGATCACTTGGTATTACCTTCTCAGAAAAGCTTAAATAGGAGGTTAGAACAACTGTCACTTAAGTTACTTTTCTATCATATTACTTTACCTACAAATTACCCCCTTAATAGCGTGAAATGAAAGACTCACTCAGAATACTTAGATAAAATAGCAAAATATTTCAGGCTTTTCCATATATAACAAAAATAGCTGTTATACCAAAGCAGAAGCCTCATCCAGCTTGGAATTACTTTTGTTTTTCTTTCATGCAAAGGCAACTCAGAGCAAAAGTAAAAGCCAAAGTAATATGAATGAAGAGCACATGAAAGGAAATGGCTGGGTTGCTTTAACAGGAGTGCTAGGAAATATAGCATGTTAACCCATGTTGCCCAAGGCAGGGGGATTGGAACTAGATGATCTTTGAGGTCCCTTCCAACCCAAGCCATTCTATGATTCTATTCTATGATTTAACAGAGGATGACAAAGTTAGGTTGTCCAAAAATTCATTGATGATGAGAGTTTTGTGTCTTTCTGATTTCAATCTCAAATTTTTCTTTACAGGAAATATTAGCAAAAATTGTACGAGTAATGGATGGTCAGATATTTTTCCTGATATCTTAAGTACTTGTGGATATAATGACTATGAGGATGATTATAAGGTAGGAAAAAGACTTTTTCTATTCAGTTAGATGTCAGTGTTCAACACAGTTATCAGACATATTCTGCTTCTAAATAATTCCCATTTTACTCTATCAGAATTAATGGAAATCTGTAGTAATTTTTGGTAGCATTGATTGCCATATGCTTGGATTGCAAATGCCATATAAGATAAAATCAGAAATGTAGAATTCAGTAACTGTTTGAAACTCAAGGCTATAAACACTTGGTAGTTGCAGTAATGCAGCTGTATTTCTAATATTGCAGTGTTACTGGGCTTATGCACAATATGTTTTTCATTGTATATTTCTAGAAGTTTCTATTATAACAAATCCTAATACTGTAATAATCTGTTAATAATACGTGCACTACTTGATTGCTGGTATGTGTTTAATTTTTAAGTAAAATAAAACTAATTTAGGTCATTGGAATTATTGCAAATTTGTATCGGACTTTAAATTGCCTTGTCAGTTAGAAGTGGTTCAAAAAGCTATCAAGATATCTTAAATACAGTATAAATGGGCAAACAAATTTTTTCACTTTGCATAACTTATTTCTTGTTCTTTTTGTTGAGGGAAGTACTTTTTCCATCACATATTTTACCTATTTTCTATCTGTTATTCTGCTGAGACTAACAGAGCAAGATTTTGTTTACAAGGATGAGCTCATAGTGTCAGTAAAACTCTTGTTATCAAGAACAGATGAAGTCCTATCTTAAGATACTTGGCTGGTTGGGTTTTTCTGGATTTTAGTATGTGTGGAATAGATCTAGCAGACCTGTTCTGTCTGGCTTGCAGAGAAGTTCTGGCATGCTAGCTAAGACATGCAGTTCTTGCTCTCTCTGTCTGTATTTAAAAGCCCAGCCATTACTGTAGTTGAAAATAGATAATAAAGAAAATGGATGGAGTATGGTGTTTTCTGAAGTTTTCTGATGATACATTCTAAACCACTGGTATCTGACAATTTGGGGACACGCACGCATTACTGCTACAAAAGCCGTTTTAAAACAGTCATTCAAAACCAGTCATTCAACCCAGACATTGTCATGTGGAGTTAAAATGGGTCAAGACTTAAAAATTCAAATGAACAAAAGATAGCATTTCAAGTAGTGAGAAATACTTAATTAGCATATAATAATAGTATAATAGAAAAGCAGTTCTTGTTTGACCTGTTCATTAGTACTTTGAAGGAGAAAAATGAAATGCAAGTTCAATTTACTTGCAGAAATGAACCTAGAGAAACTGGAAATAGAAAACAGTAGCAACATTTACAAAAGCCTGGAAAAGAGCAAATAAGAAATCAGTGAGGATAAAAATCAGAAGAGAGATGTGGAAGGCAGGTAGTGAAAAAATGATTAACAAAAGTACAATAGATAGATAATCGTAGGTATCTAACATAGATATTATACAGAATACGTACATAGAGGGATTCCAGAGAGGGAAAGGGAAATGCAAGCACTGACTGCATTTCAAGCAACACGACCCGAGGGCCCTGTGCTTTTCTCTCAAGTACCAGTGTCATTGCTCAGGAAATATTCTTTGCCTGAAGATCATAAACTGGTTATTTCAGTGGGGCAAGACTATAATTCTTTTCTAACCTTAAAGTTGACAAGTCAAAAAGTGGATATAACAGTGCTGGCTTGTCAGAAGTTAAGCTGTTCCTGTGCAAATATATTTTGTAGTTAAAGAAAGGACAAAAATTACCAGAATAAAATCTGAAAATAGGAAACAGGAAAGCATATGTTTAAATCCGTCTCTTCGTGTGAAACAACATAAAAATGCAAGTATCAGGCAGTTGTGAGATTTCAGGAGACATTTAAGGTTCTGCATCAGTCAACAGAAAGAAGATGTTTTCATAAATTCTGATCTTAGCGCTCAGTGGTAGCACCTCAAAACAAAAAATATTTACACAACATAAATCAGGATAGTTCGTTTTTATTTGACCTAGAATTTCAACACAAAGGACTAAAAATGAAATCCTAAGTATTTGGATGCAAAATATTTTGGACACAAAAATATCATGCAACGATATACTTTGCGGGTGATCTGTGAGGTTGCTCTCAAAGTTACAGAAACTAAAGAGATCATATTTTAGGGAAGGTGGCAAAATACTTTTCTTATGGTAAGTCTTAAATTTTCTTCTTTCCTTTTATATTTTTGTTGAAGTCATGGCAGCACAATGGGAGAACAAATAGCTTGATTTGACTATGCTAGAAACACAGGTCAAGGTGTGTTAACACAATCCAAGCCTCACTGTAATCTTTCCTTTCATGTGGACATATTTTGAGATCTTCTGTCTAGACTAAACAAGCTAGAGATGCGTCCTAGCTGTCCTCAGAGGGTATTAAACTCTCTGTCAACATTATTAATATACAGCAAGATGCCTGGTGAATGTGAAGGACTGAAATGTGTCCACCGACTTAAAATAATGGCTGGGTCAGTTAATACAGTGTCATCTAATCTTAGTGTGAATTGGCCCGAGGTTTATTAGATCACGCAAAAAAACAATATATGCAAGTTACAGGCTATGTGATTTGAATGCATAGAGTCATACAAAGACAAATTCATGGAAAGATCCTCAGGGCTGTTAAATGTGGTGAAAGTGTTGCAGCTTATGCATAAATAGAAGCATCATCTATGGAAGAAGATTTCCCCTATTTGGCCGGTTTCCTGAAGCATTCACTCATAGGCTGCTGTCAGAGATAGCATCCTGGGTGCACTACCCACTACCCAATACAGATACGCTACTCGAGACAAGTGGAGTCAAGGCAGTGAGGTCAGGACTGACACAAACACTGCCTTTAATGTCTGTAGCTACCTTTGGAAAGCAGATGCATTAGTTCTGTCTGTGAAGTGGATCATTGCAGTGGACTAATGGATTGTTTGTATTGAGTCTACGTTGAATCCTTCCCTCTCAACAAAATGTCATGCAGGGCAGCCATGTACCAATGCTTTGTGTGCCTGTAAGTCATGCTGTATTTATTTACATTACATTCTGCATTTTTCATTACTTAACGATGCTACTATTACTAAGAGATACTTAAGGCAATACTGGTCTCATCTTTTTTTGGGTGATGTTTAGGCTAAGGTAAATTGAAAGAGAAACATGTCAGAAAAGAGGTATTAATTACTTGCATAAAGATTATTAAATACCATGAGGAATACTGATTTTATTCCATATATTTTCAGTAAATTCTATTTTGCTCTGCACCATTTAAAAAAGTGTAGAGGTGCCTGATAAGAAAAAAGTAAATTGTCTGCAACATGTAATCCATCTCTTTATCTCAGTCTATATTTATTCTAAGTACTACAAGATTTTAGAAATGGCTACTGTGTTGTTGAAGTTCATTTTGCAAAAGGAAAGAACTAGGGTTCTTTATTCCACATCTGTTTGCATTTGCTTGTTTCAGTGTTTCTAAAGCACTGAACTCATTTGCTAGGCCCAGTTCTGATTTTACAGTGATGATACAGTTCAAGTTTTTCTGGTATGTTCTCCTAGTATGAATATTTGGCTATTGTGGAATGTACTCTGACACGTGTCATAAAAATATAAGACCATGAATTTTAATATACTTGTAAGTAATCATATCTGTGAATACCAGATTCTCTTACATACAATATTACAGGAATATACTAGCCCACAGAATAAATGAAATAGAGTCACTTGGGATGATAATAATCATAAATACTTTAGTAGTGATCAGTTATATTTTTGATTAAATGAATAAAGAGGTGTGAGATTTTCTTTTACATTGAGTGACAATCTCGTCAATAGTAAAACTCCTTTGGATGAACAATCAACCCCTCAACTTTCTTCAGAGCGTTTTGTCCTTCAGCACTGAATTATCCTCTCACCCCTAGAGGTCCTTCCAAAGCAAGGCTGAGGTTGAAAGATCCACTGGGTAACTTTGCCTAGGAAGCTTCTGTGCTATGTCTATTCTGTAAATAAACAGAAGACTTCTGTCTCCTGAACTTAGTAAAAATAGCATGAAACTAACTCTAGAGGAAACATTAGCAGAAAAAGGTATCTGTTCTAAGAAAACAAAACACAAGTGCGTAAGAATAGATTTTACAAAAAAAGTGCATCGAAGGTAACATTAATTACAAGAACTTGTACTAATCCAATTTATTTTTATAAGTGTGCTTTTCTGTACTATTTTAAAACCTGTTAGCATTAAGTAGCCACAAAAAAAGAGGAATCATCTTAGGATTACAACTTTGTAGTCTAGAAAGCAGTTTCAGATTCTGTAAATGTTTCCATAAAAGTGTTATGAAAAATCATAATGCACTGATTTTTGCTGTGTCTAACTACCTATTGAGTTTAGTTTACTGACTGTAATTTGAATATTTTCCTCACAAGTTTAAAAGTAAATTGATGGATTTCAGTTTTGGAATCAGTATTGCTCAGTTAATTATGTGAATACTTTGCAGAGGCCAGCTGTTCTTACGACTGTTGCAAAAGTACTATTTTTTTAGATATGCAGAAAATTTCATGGTATTTCAATTTCACGATGGCATTTCAATTTCATATGCATGACTCGAATCAGTTCATGCTTTGCATACAGTTACAAAATCTAAATGCGTTTTGATATTTATTCTGTGTTAAAATCTTTTAAAAATGTAATTTACTTTTAAATTCTGTTTTGGTCAATCCATACATTCTTTGCACTTATTTTACTCCTGCCAATCTTGCAGATTTTTTATTAAGTTCAGAGGTTAAAGCTAAAGTTTAATTGAAAACTGGCTGATTATGGTTCACACAGAATAGTAAATAAGAAATAAGATATGGCCATCTTGCAAAAAAGACATAGATTTTTACATGCTAAGAGTTTTGATATTGCTTTGCTTGTTTCTTTTGCAGCAATGCAATATAAACAGTTTGTTTCTAAATGGTACTATGTAAGATAGAGAGTAGTGACAAATATTTGATAGCTATAACTAAGTCCATATTAATCTAAAGTAATTTCCTGGTTTTCAACTACCACAACACAATGCAGAATTTA